ATTATGAACATGCTGACATTTCAGGTAGCCTGTAGTCTTAGCTAATTTGCACTTACAGTAAAAGCTGGGATTGCCACTACTTTACCAGGTATTTGGTTGTAAAAAAAAGTTTTGAGCTTTCTGTCCCCAGAGTCAGAACTAAACATGGAAAAGCAGCGTTCAGTTATTATGCTCCAAATATCTGGAACAAACTTCCAGAAACCTGCAGGTCCGCTGCAACTACTTTTAAATAAGACTTTTCTTTTTGCCGCTGCTTTTAATTGAAATATTCACATCTTAAACTGCACTGTAACTTTTATCCATGTATTTTTTCTTTTAATGTTTATTTTATTATCTTTTCTTTTTAATGACTGTTTTTAAATGCCATTTTCTTAATGTCTTTCGTTTTTTGTAAAGCACTTTGAATTGCCTTGTGTTGAAAGGTGCTATATAAATAAACTTGCCTTGCCTTGAAGTGAAATTCGAGCTGTTAGAGTCAAGGGATCACCAAAGTGATAAAGAAACTCATGCTGGGGTGGTCTTGCATATTTGTTCTAAAGATTATTAATAGTAATTGTCCCACAAGTATTTCATGTAGGCTAGTAACAAAGGTGCATCATTTGCTCTGACCTAGGCTTTTGGTTATACAGTATAAGAGTTTAACAAGTAAGTCCAATTTAATTCTATATGTTTTCGTTTACAGCTTTTTATTTAGAGTATACATTGCTTATAGTAGCACATTATACATTTATTACAGTCATTATACTGTCTGTATGGCAGAGTTTTCCTGACCTGTTTTTACTTTTCCAGCTCTTTGAAGCTGTCATTTGTCAATCGATATTTAGGCTATGAACCCTTTTAATGATGTGGACTATTCCTAAATGTGTATGACTAAAACCATCTCTCTTACAGGGGCTCCTTGTTGCGATCCTCTATTGCTTTCTCAATAAAGAGGTCAGTACAAGCCTCAACACTCATGTATTTACTATTACATATTCAACAAAGCACGCGGATAATTTACAGCTCTCTGTTGCATAATAAACAAGAGTAACATGATACCAGTGAGGATGAGTGGGTCAGAGATTTCAGGGCTGAAAAAACTATATAATTTACGCCTCTCTTTCCCTCATTGCATAAGCAAAGGACCTTGAGAACATATTTAACCAGCAAGTACACAGACACTGTCTCAGTACACAATAACTCATCTGCCTTGTGTATTAGGGCCTCATGGGTAGTACTTGGAAGACACTTAATTATTACACACACTAATGGAATCCAAATCTGTATCCTCTGATAGATTCAAGACATCGAGTAAAACAATACATTACATCATTACATTACACTGCATTTAGCTGACGCTTTTATCCAAAGCGACTTACAATAAGTACATTCGACCAGGAAGACACAACCTTGAAGAAAACAGAATCATATAAGTACATCAGGTTTCATAGAGCCAAACATTTCAAGTGCTACTCAACTGGCTTTAGATAAGCCAGTCCTTTATTAGTATATACAGCTGGGGTTTATTAGTGAAGGATGTTTTAGGGAAATGTATGATATCTAATGCTTTACATTTCACCTATACCCCAATAACATGGCGAATAAATACCTTAGATGACTTGAGTGGTGAAACGGAAATACATTTTCAAATTGTGTGTACTTTGAAGTTAATGAAATACGTTAATATTTTTGGAAAATTGTCTGGTACGGGTAACCATTGGACAGATAGAGCTGTGTGCTAAGCTATAAGCTAACCAGCTGCTGCTTACATACAACAGAAATATATGAGAGGGGAATCAATCTTATTATTACACTTTCTCAAAAAAAATAAAGTAAACGTGTGTCCTTAAACGTCAAACTATTGCTTTTCAGTATATTACATCACAGTATATGCTATGGTTGTTGTTTTTTAAATCATAAACCAATAACATAACTGTTCAAACTCATATACGAGTTGCAACTGCATCATCTTACAAGTTTGAAATCCTCTCAATATTGTGTTTTCTGTATGTCTATGTTCGCTTGACAGGTCCAGAAAGAGGTGCACATGCAGTGGCTGAGGTGGCTGGAGCGGAGCTATGGTGTGGTGTCACCAGCTGCTAAATGCAGTCAGATGGACACACCCTTCTAGTGATGGTCTTCACCCTCCACCCACAGCTCCTCTGCTCATTGTGAAGTCCCACAGGATTGCCTTTGTGTGTGTCATTTTCTGCAATAGGCTGCACAGTATGCACAATAGTGGTTTAATGCCACGTCTGTACGTTTATAAACCATTCAAAAGATGACCTTTTTAAAGACTGCTCCAGAAAGAAGGATAACATTTCATGACATTATCCACACGCATTTTAGAACAGATCCTGCCAATTTAATTTCCCTTGAGTCACTGTGTCAACAACTTCACCTTCCAGATTTCCTCGGGCCCCTCTCTGGTTTTAGTAAAGAATAAAGAGTATGTGAAGCTGAGCGCTTACCCTGATGATTAAGGAATAATCAATTATGTAAACCGTTTCACCGGATATGGGTTTTTAGGAACCAAGAAAAACACTATCTTGTTGAGTGTGGTGGATGTCGTCTCTATGTAGATGCTAAAGTTAGATACAGTAGATTAAATTCCATTTATCACTGTTGCTGTAGCGTAACCTGTTGAAAATGTAATATACACAAAATATTAATCACCCAGTTGACTCAAACAGAAATTAAAATGGGTTATTACTGATATAATTCAACAGCAGTATAACATTGTACTACATAATTCATATTTGAACTTAGATTGATTATTTTGAGTTTAGTACACAGGGAGATGAACTGTAAGTGTGTATGTATATATTTATTCACTGAGCAAAATTATTTCTTTGTTTTTATATATTAATATATTAATTCAAAGTGCGTACAAATTAATACCTTAATAGCAGCTTAATGAATGAATATCTTAAAGTCTGCTCATGATACACATTAGTGTCAGCTGCTATATGTGTGTGTTTTTTGTTCGCTTGTTCAGTGTAACCTGCACCTGTAACCTTTAGATCGTTGACACACTGATGAGAGTTGAGCAGCTTCTCACCTGTTGTATGGTTTGATGTCATGAACACAATACCATGAACATAAACTTTATCATGGTAATTATTTTAAAGTTATTTTACATCAATATATATGATGCTGACATTATACAGCGGTTTGTACTGCATATGAAGAACGATACAAATTGATATGTGAGTGCCATAATTTGTTTACAGATCTATTTTTGTTAGAAATTAAAATGGATGTTCAGGCTTTGTATGTGTTATAAGCCACAATACTCTTAGTGTCGTTTATTTTATGTAAACAAAGCATTTGTGTAAACTGAATGTATAAAGAAGTCAGACCTTTCTCTGTTGTTACATTTGGAAGTTGCTGCTATTCTTGTGCCTCTCTTTGTGATGTTGTATTGCCTTGTGAAATTAACAGGTTTGAAGGAGCTAAAGCATAAATATGTTTATTCTGATTCATTATCAGTAAAGTGTCTCTACTGTAGGCTATTTTTATTATATGTGCAGCACTTTGGCTCGACCAAAAATCGTTTATAAATGTGCTATATAAATAAAACTTGATTTGATTTGATTATGGCTCTCTGCAATCTCATCAGCTGGCAGCTACGAAATGTCAAATCAATTATCTAATCGCTAATCACTGATACCTGTTGTGTCTTCTTGGTCGAATGTACTTATTGTAAGTCGCTTTGGATAAAAGCGTCAGCTAAATGTAATGCAATGTAATGTAATACTGAAATCATAGTTATTCATGTAGATTTCATTTCCAAGGATGTCATTCAGAAAAAACAATATGAGAGTATTTAGTAAAATTACAGTTGTGCTTCATATGGAAAACCTTAATAAATGTTATCATTAAAGCAATGGCAAAACCATTTTCAAGCTAACAATCTTTATATTGTTGTATATGTTTGAATACATATTTTAGACAATGTATCTAAAATGATTTACAGTTAAACTAGTACCAGTTGTATAATTAAAGAGTACTGTTTATTAGTTTTAAACAGTATTGCGCTCATTTCAGGTTCATATTTGTATTCAGTGTCTCTACTGTGACATGTCTCCATGCTTCAATGTTCAAAAAGCTCTTTATTCTTCTCATACTGCCTGTGCTGCAGCACCTCTTTTCACCCTCTGTCTGAAACCAGAGCCCAGTCTGCTCTGATTGGTTAGCTGGCCGGCTCTGTTGTGATTGGTAAACCGCTTAGAGATGTCCCACCCCTTAGCCTATCAAGTAGCCTACAATGTGTTGGAGCGCTAGCCAATAGAAGTGGGAGTGTTACACAGTGATGACACTATGTTGCAGAAGTAAACAAAGGAGTCCAATGGAGGCTTTTCAGGGGGGGGAGAGAAACTCCCTCTTGAGGGAACACAGAGATTTTAGCCTTTGAATACAATTTAGATCAAAACCTAAACAACAAACGACAGGAAAGGGAAAATCCCATTGTGGTTAAACTCAAATTACGTTTGCAGATTATTCCAGGTTGTTGGCTGCTGCAGCAGAATACAAGGCTTATTCTCCCATCTCTGTCCTCACAGTAGATATAAAGTGTGTGTCATGTGATCAAACATAATGATGCAAAATGCACTTCTGCACAATGGCTATAGCCTACAAATGACTCACTAGTGTTTAATACGCAATCATGCAGCCCCAATTAGTAAAACGCCTTCTTGTAAATGTACTCTGAACTTCCTAAAGGAAAGTTTCCCTCTAATATGAAGCCCCCCAGATGTTCACCATCAGGCAGGGTGTAATAGGCTTTTTTTTAACCTAATGAACTCGCATGTGAAGTCTCTCTGACCTCCCTGGTTCCCCGGCTGACCGAGGCTCTGACTGCTTTATGACCCGCATGTCAGGGTTCAGAGGCGGCAGCAGGGTGACAGTGATCCGCCTGCGGGCCTGGCTGCTGCTCCACTTTAGCGCTGGTTTGGGATTTGAGGAATGGGAAGTGCAGAGTTTTCAGACAGGATGTGGAGTCACTGCTACAGCCTCAGCCCCCCCACACTGACACAGAGCTGCTTCAGGCTGCACGAGTCCCCGCATCTGGAGAAGATAGGACGGGCATTTTTGGCATCTGGATAACTGTCTCCGTCTAACTCCTGGAGACACAACCCGGTTCATTACTGCGAGTAGATCTAACCCGGGTGAGTTGGCTCAGTTTGTTGCACTCTTACTCTGATATCGCATCATTAGCCAACTCTATAAGTCAGTTCCACGGAAGTAGCGTGTTTATATGTTTAACAACGTTTCTTGTCGCTCTTGTGGCTTTCATATTTTCAATTTCAATGTGCTCAATGTAAATCCTGTTGCAGCTGCTGTACATTTCTTTTGTTCTGTGTGTGGGGGGGGGGGGGGGGGGGGGGGGGTTATGTGGGTGATGTTAACTTAATAACAGGGTGCTCTTAACCCTTTGTTGTTCTGCCTGCCTGGACATGCACTGTAAGGCTGCATCTGCACACAATTCATCATCTGAGTCCAATTTAGCTCCAAACTATTTCCCCTTAGGTAACTGCTCTCATCTGAACTTTTCCGATTTATGAAACACTCTGAGGGGTTTCTTCCTTTTCCTCAGCAGATAACCCCCTCCTCTACACAGATTCAGGTGATGCCTCTCCTCAGGACTCTGCTGTCAGCCCTGCTGCTGGTTCTGTCTGTGTCTGAGCCTCTGAACAGCCCAGAGGAAAATGAAAATGAAGTCTTTAAACACCCAGAGGCGGAGCACACCAAGAGCCAGGCCAGTGACCAGAGAAACCCTCCTTGAGTGTTTAGCTTCTTATGCTAGAAATGTTCTTATTGGATGTGATGTGGTGGATTAGTTAAAATCAATGTGTTGGTTTCTACATTTTTTAGAATCAGGTGATGGAAAATGTCATTGGAAATCTCAGTGAGCCTACACCGAGCACAGGTGAGTTTTTGTTTTTTGCTGCACTCTCTTTTACCCTTTCAGTTCCTTTTACAACTTTTTTTTTTTTTACATTAGCTTTAGAGTCCCTGACTACCACAGTTCCTCCGAGCACCAGTCTTCCTCCTCAGTGTCCGGGAAACCAGGTGAAGCTGGAGAACAGCAGCGTCTGCAGCTGTCCATCTGGCATGGTGAAGGACGGAGACAACTGTAGCTGCCCTGGGGGCTTCACTCTGGAGGGGGCCGCATGGTGTAAAGGTGAGGAGAGGCAGAACCAGAGTTTAACTGAAGGTGATGTCTAAATTGCCAGTGTTGCATTCAATTAGGGAATTTAATTGTAATTTTAGTATATAAATGAGGCCACTGAAGAATGGCAAGCAGTCTCTTCTCTGCATTTTAAAATGCCATTGAAGAATGGTCGACAGTCCCTATACTCTGCATTTTAAATCAGGGCTTCAATTCTCATGTAGATCAAGCGGTTAATTACCTTAATATACATCTTTATTTTGTGATAGCTTATAAAACTTGAAACAGGTCAAAGTCAGCGTGGCTCTGTCTAAAGGTTACATAATCTACCATTCAGCACCTCTGAAACTCACACAACAGTAGACAGTTTATCTCGATGGTTAGATTTCTAGTTTCACAAGGGCTAAAGTAACAGACAATTCGCCTATTTAGCTACTATATCAACCAACAAACTTCCTTCAAGAGAGTATTTTGCTGCGTTCTCTTTTACCTTTTCAGATTTTCCTAAAATGTCTAGTTTTTTTCTTTTTACATCAGCAGCTCCCCTGACTACCACAGTTCCTCCGAGCACCAGTCTTCCTCCTCAGTGTCCGGGGAACCAGGTGAAGCTGGAGAACAGCAGCGTCTGCAGCTGTCCATCTGGCATGGTGAAGGACGGAGACAACTGTAGCTGCCCTGGGGGCTTCACTCTGGAGGGGGCCTTAGGGTGTAAAGGTGAGGAGAGGCAGAATGAGCGTTTAACTGAAGGTGATCAGAACTGCATTAAAATGTGTGTAATTCAAGTATTCAAATTAGGCCATTAAAGAATGGTAGGCAGTCTGCACTCTGCATTTCAAACTAGGGCGTCAATTATTGTATATATACACGTATGGGTTAGTTAATTAAATCTACATATTTATCCTGTGATAGCTTTACAGAAAACGGGAAAGAATCCAGCTGGGATTTATATATGAAACATTTTCTGATGCCATGGTAAAAATATTATGTATTTACAGTAATCGGTTACCCAGCAACATACAGAATAAATACCTCAATAGACTTAATATCCAATAATGTTACCAAATTCATTTTTTTATTTGACCTTTCAAAAGTGAACTTTTAAGTTTGTGGGTCCTGTTTTTTAAGTTTAAATATAGAATCTGTTTAATTGCTTCTTGTGTTTTAAAGTAAGATTAGAATGTCCATACCACTTTCATGTCTGTTCATTTGGGGGCTACACTTAGCAGCCAGTTAGCTTAGCTTTATGTAAAGAAGACTGGAAACAGTGTTAAAAGTTAGTGTGGCTCCATCTAAAGGTAACACTATCTACTGTATACAACCGTAATTTGAAGACTCACTAATGAACACAATAGTTCGAAGTATATCTTCTTTGTTAGATTTACAGTTTCACAAGGGCTTAAGTAACAGACAATATACCTATTTACCTATTATATCAGGCCACAGACGTCCTGTAAGAGAGTGTTTTTGTTTTGCTGTGTTCTCTTTTACCTTTTCAGATTTTCCTAAAATGTCTCCTTTTTTCTTTTTACATCAGCAGCTCGCCTGACTACCACAGTTCCTCCGAGCACCAGTCTTCCTCCTCAGTGTCCGGGGAACCAGGTGAAGCTGAAGAACAGCAGCGTCTGCAGCTGTCCATCTGGCATGGTGAAGGACGGAGACAACTGTAGCTGCCCTGGGGGCTTCACTCTGGAGGGGGCCGCAGGGTGTAAAGGTGAGGAGAGGCTTTAACTGAAGGTGATGTCTAATATACTAGTTCTGCATTCAATAAGGGAAGTAATTGTAATTAAAGTATACAAATGAGGCTACTGAAGAATGACAAGCAGTCTCTACTCTGCATTTGAATATGGCTGCAACTGACTTAATTAAATGAGAAGATTATTTTCTTGATTATTTTACATAAATAGTTTGTTGATAAGGGTCAGAAAATAGTGACAAAAGGTCCATCATAGTCTGGACAGTATGGGACATTCAATGTAATAATAATAATAATAATTCCTTACATTTATTATAGCGCTTTTCCAGATGCTCAAAGCGCTTTACAAATACATATCACACATATTTTTTTATACATGCAATGGTCACTGTGGACAATACCCACAGGAGCAAGTTCAGGTGAAGTGTCTTGCCCAAGGACACACCGGCTTTACAGACGCAGCAGCAGCGGGTTTCACCCCTTGATCTGATGATCATTGCACAGCGCACTGCGCCACACTGTCCATCTTCACGCCTCGAAGTCATCGAGGCGCTTTTACAAGTACACATTGATATCATACATGTACTGTGGACATTACCCACAGGAGCAAATCCGGGTGAAGTGTCTTGCCCAAGGACACAACGGCCTGACGCAGTGGCGGCAGGAGCGGGTTTCGAACTGGAGTTCCCCAGCACCCCCCTTGATCTGATGATCAGATGCACAGACCACTGCGCCACCCATCCCTAAATGTACATGGTGATGTCTTTCAAACCCAAGTATAATCAAATGAATATGAGGAGGGAACTTCGTGATTTTAGCCTTTGCAGACCATTTACATGCACAAAAACCTAAATAACACACTACTGGAAAGGAAAACCTCCAAAAACACAATTGGGCCTAAAATTGGCCCTAAACGTTAAATCTATTATCAAAAACTTTCGATAACTCTCCTTGCAGCACTATTTAAACGATTCAAAGCTATTATTTGCAGGAACTCAGCAATAATACACAGCCAAACAAAAAACAACATCCAAGTAAAACAGAAGATTTCGATAATGCCAGGAAAAGTACCAGGAACAGTCTTTATAAGAAGACAACCCAAACTTCTCTGACTATAATCTTCTTTATGCACAAAAAAAGGATTTGACACGTAATATTTTCCATCATGTACTGTAGCACCTATTTTTATACACAGCGATGTCCGTTAGATGCAACACATTATCTTCTCTCTGCTCGACAGATGTTGATGAGTGTGAAGCGGGGGGTCCATGTGGTCTCCACGCCGACTGCGCTAACACACCCGGATCCTACTCCTGTAGCTGTCTCCGTGGTTACCTGATGGGTGCTGGAGGGTGCAAGGGTGCGTCATTATCTGTGTGTGTGTGAGAGAGAAAGAATAAATGGGTGTGAGTGCATGTTTGAAATCATTTTCCTGCCCTTTTGCCGTATATTAAATGCATGTGTTCTGTATGTTTGTCACAGATATAGATGAGTGTGCTCTGGCGGCGGTGACTGGCCTGCAGGCGTGTCACGGCGATGCTGAATGTAGAAACACACCCGGCACCTTCACCTGCTCGTGTCCTGCAGGATATGTAATGGCTCTAAATGGACGAAGTTGTGTAGGTGAGGCCAATGTTAATGTTATCTGGTGTATGGCTGTAGAATGTGGAAGTATAATGAGATGTTCAGGAGCATGATATGTGCTGTATGGACTCTGTGATTTTCTCTTATTTTTCATATCCAGTAAAACCATCTACAATCACACATTACATGCTAGTACAATTAGACTCAGAAAATAATTAATTAAAAGCCTGTCCGAGAGCATCAGAATACAAAAAAGGCCAAATCTGCTTACGTTAATAACTGTTCAATGGGTTGACAGTCTAGCACCAGAGCCTCTTTCAGAAATATCCAAAGTGAAAGATGATAACAGAGGAATTATGAGCATGGTAGATGGTTGATGAACAACGATCAGCTTTCTCCATAAAGAGCTGTCAATTCTGAAACACATTACCAACTAAAATCCAATTAATTCCATATTTTTTTAAAAGTAACCGAAGTACGACATGTGTGTGACAAATAAAAAGGGTTTAATTTGATTCCTTTGTTTCTAGTTTCTGGTTAATGCTGTTAATTATTTACGTGTTGTTTTAATTACACTTAAAGCTTTATATTTCAACTAAACTGTACATGTTAAATCGCACATAGGGGCACATAGGGTTAAACTGTATTGTCCCTGTCAACGAAATACATCAAAATCTCGTATTTCTCGCCTGGGGAAGCAGTGAGGGGTTAAATGTCTTCCTCTTTGACCGGATATGGGGTGTTATTATACTTGACCACCATGCCATATAATCCATACGGGAGTGTGAAGTGTTCCTATTACAGTTCTTGTCCACGTTCTTACAGATGTGGATGAGTGCAGCTTCGAGGATCAGTGTCGCCGTGAGCTGGGTAACGAGTGTGTGAACATTCCCGGCAGCTTTACGTGCCGCTGCCGGCCGGGGTTCAGAGCCGAGGCCCGCGCCTGCGTGGGTAAGTCCGGTGTTAACGTTTCCCTTCCTCTGGGTCAGACTGATGTACAGATCTAATCGGGTGTTTCTAATAACCAGAGTTAAACCAGACTTAATAACTTCTGCTGACAGAAAGGCTTTGCAGGAGAGAAGAGCTTTAATCCCCTGCTTTGCTGCTTGCCTGTGTTGTTATTACTTTTTGTTTACTCTTTTGCTCCTTCACTTTTTCTTTAATTACCTATTTCCTCTCTTGTGCTCTAAAATCCTCCCAACGCTTCCTCTTTTTTCATCTTGTTGTGTTTTCTCTGTGACTCTTCTGCACTTCCAATCTCAGGTCCTGTGTGTCAAGACTACAACGTGTGTCAAGGTATGATGCACTTTCAAAGCTTAAAGGGCCCGTGCGTAGTGTGATATACACTGAACAAAAATATAAACGCAACACTTTTGTTTTTGCTCCCATTTTTCATGAGATGAACTCAAAGATCTAAAACATTTTCTATAAACACAAAATAACCATTTCTCTCAAATATTGTTCACAAATCTGAAAAAATCTGTGATAGTGAGCACTTCTCCTTTGCCGAGATAATCCATCCCACCTCACAGGTGTGGCAAATCAAGATGCTGATTAGACAGCATGATTATTGCACAGGTGTGCCTTAGGCTGGCCACAATAAAAGGCCACTCTGAAACGTGCAGTTTTGCTTTATTGGGGGGGTCCGAAAACCAGTCAGTATCTGGTGTGACCACCATTTGCCTCTCGCAGTGCAACACATCTCCTTCGCATAGAGTTGATCAGGTTGTTGATTGTGGCCTGTGGAATGTTGGTCCACTCCTCTTCAATGGCTGTGCGAAGTTGCTGGATATTGGCAGGAACTGGAACACGCTGTCGTATACACCGATCCAGAGCATCCCAAACATGCTCAATGGGTGACATGTCCGGTGAGTATGCTGGCCATGCAAGAACTGGGATGTTTTCAGCCTCCAGGAATTGTGTACAGATCCTTGCAACATGGGGCCGTGCATTATCATGCTGCAACATGAGGTGATGGTCGTGGATGAATGGCACAACAATGGGCCTCAGGATCTCGTCACGGTATCTCTGTGCATTCACAATGCCATCAATAAAATGCACCTGTGTTCGTCGTCCATACGCCTGCCCATACCATAACCCCACCACCACCATGGGCCACTCGATTCACAACATTGACATCAGAAAACCGCTCACCCACACAACGCCACACACGCTGTCTGCCATCTGCCCTGAACAGTGAAAACCGGGATTCATCCGTGAAGAGAACACCTCTCCAACGTGCCAGACGCCATCGAATGTGAGCATTTGCCCACTCAAGTCGGTTACGACGACGAACCGTCAGGTCGAGACCCCGATGAGGACGACGAGCATGCAGATGAGCTTCCCTGAGACGGTTTCTGACAGTTTGTGCAGAAATTCTTTGGTTATGCAAACCGATTGTTGCAGCAGCTGTCCGAGTGGCTGGTCTCAGACGATCTTGGAGGTGAACATGCTGGATGTGGAGGTCCTGGGCTGGTGTGGTTACACGTGGTCTGCGGTTGTGAGGCCGGTTGGATGTACTGCCAAATTCTCTGGAACGTCTTTGGAGACGGCTTATGGTAGAGAAATTAACATTCAATTCACGGGCAACAACTCTGGTGGACATTCCTGCTGTCAGCATGCCAATTGCACGCTCCCTCAAAACATCTGTGGCATTGTGCTGTGTGATCAAACTGAACATTTCAGAGTGGCCTTTTATTGTGGCCAGCCTAAGGCACACCTGTGCAATAATCATGCTGTCTAATCAGCATCTTGATATGCCACACCTGTGAGGTGGGATGGATTATCTCGGCAAAGGAGAAGTGCTCACTATCACAGATTTTTTCAGATTTGTGAACAATATTTGAGAGAAATGGTTATTTTGTGTATTTAGAAAATGTTTTAGATCTTTGAGTTCATCATGAAAAATGGGAGCAAAAACAAAAGTGTTGCATTTATATTTTTGTTCAGTGTATATTAGCAGAAATGAAATATAATATTCATAGCTATGTTTTCATTCAAGTATAATCACCTGAAAATAAGAAATGCGTTTTTGTTTCCTTAACATTTGAAATCTATCCCTCCTATAAGGGCTAAACTACTGCACAAACTAATCTTATGAGTGGACAAATGAGCCCTTTATAACTACGTAGGAAGCAGGTTCTTTTCAAGGAGTCTGCCATGTTTCTACTGTAGCTTGGAATGGACAAACCAAACTCTGGCTCGAGAGAGGTACTTTTTTACATTACCTGAAGTCACAGAGGTAAGAAAGGCAGAACCAACACGTGTACTGAAGAGAGAGTCAGGTATAAAAAAGTGCTTTGTTGAAATAAAGCTGGTACAAAAGTAAGATACTAAGGGGAGCAGGCAAGTTGAAACATAACAAAAGATAACAGCAAAACAAAACGAGGAACTAATTGGTTAGACTTGGAGAACACAGGTTGTAGAACCAGGAGGTCAGACGAGAAAAATCAAGATTCAGGCGGAGACAGGAAACTAGACACAGTGACAAATCGAACCGCACCAGGGAAACATTGACCACAAACTGACAGAGAACACAAGGAAGGACAGAAGTATAAATACACAGGGGTAATCACAAAGACAGGACACTGCTGGGGAGGGCATGCAAAAACACAAGGGTAGCAGGTGAGGAGAATCAGACAAAGTAAAGAGACGCGATGCAATTCAAAACAAAACAGTTAAACAAATAGGACCAGGATAATGACACGACCACCACCACAGCTCCCTTCTGTATGTAATGCTCCTGAAGTACTGTTAAGGATGGCCTCTGAGTTAGGCCAAGGTACTGAAAGATATCGATTTGATTTTGCACTTGTTGGCTAACGCAATCTTATAAGGGTTAAGCGGACATTCTTAAAAAGAGTTTCCAGTAATATCTTGTTATTTCTACCCATATTTTAATAATATTTCTATAATTACAAACGGCTTTAGGAGAGTAGTGAATGAAGAGTTGGACAATGTGAAGTACTGTCCTCTATTAAAACAACATATCCCCGTAGTGTTGCAGAAACAAGATTTATTAGGGGGGATCCTACTGGGGTTTGTTGACATGAAAATGATTCAGTTACATAAGGGTGGATTGCACAACAGTTGTTTTTTCACTCAGTAATAATGTTTTGCAGATTATGTCAGAGTAACAAGTGAATGAAAAATGTAAACACTTTATGTAGCATTCTCTTCCTGTGTTCCAGATATGGACGAATGCTCAGAGAGTCCTGCGGTGTGTGATGGTCAGGGTGTGTGTGAGAACACGCTTGGGAGCTACAAGTGTGTGTGTCGACCAGGTTACCGGGGAAACGGCACACACTGCGCAGGTAAGTAATTAGTGCTGAATGTCCGTCCACGGGAAATTAGTTTCCTGTAGATGGGGTCAGACTCTGTGTGTGCGCGTGGTTTAATGCCTGCAGTTATATCTTTCATTCAAAAGATCCCGAGTGGCTGACTAATGATTATTAGATGGTAATGATCTTCGGATCTGGTTTTTAAAAAGTGTGTGTGTGGTGTGTGTGTGTGTGTGTGTGTGTGTGTGTGTGTGTGTGTGTGTGTGTGTGTGTGTGTGTGTGTGTGTGTGTGTGGCCTAGCATTACTATACTTGTGGGGACCTAAATCTGTTTACACAGTCACGTGTGGGGACTCGCCTCCCTTATGAGGACAAATTGGAGGTCCCCATGGGGGGAATCATTAATTTTAGGGTGAAGACTTGGCTAGGATTAGGGTTAAGGTTAAGGTTAAGGTTAAGGTTAAGGGTTAGGGTTAGGCAATTGTTGGTTATGGTTAAGGTTAGGATAAGTCTCCAGGAAATGCATGTAAGTCAATGTAATGTCCCCTGAAGTGATGTGTGTGTGTGTGTGTGTGTGTGTGTGTGTGTGTGTGTGTGTGTGTGTGTGTGTGTGTGTGTGTGTGTGTGTGTGTGTGTGTGTGTGTGTGTGTGTGTGTGTGTGTGTGTGTGTGTGTGTGTGAGTATGTTGTCTTTGCAGATAAGAATGAGTGTGCGTCAGGTGATCACGGGTGTGACATCAACGCTAGCTGTGGGAACATCATCGGCTCTTATTTCTGCCAATGCTACCAGGGCTTCAATGGAGATGGCCACTCTTGTTTTGGTGGGTAAGCAGTGTGTGTCTTTTCCACATGGTCTTGCCACTAGTGGTTCACAGTATCCAAAAACTTTAACACCCCCCCCCCCACACACACAGACACAACAAATCCAGCACCAGTCACTTTTACGCTGCTATGGAAATATTTTGCTCTATGCACATCATCTTTTTGTTATATCCTGCTTACTTGAAGTAAACGGTTATTTTGTTGTTGTTATAATTGTTCTTGTATTTTAATGTGTTATTTTATACCTCGGGACTGTGGGAAACAGTATTTCCATCTTTCTGTGTGTACAAACATATGTTGAGATTGACAATAAAGTTGAATTTGACTTTGAAGTGATACTTGTGTCATGCAACTTGCGTGTGCCAGCAGCACTTGGGCACACAGCACTCTCCAGAGACGAGTGCTTTAGGATTGTCCTTCTGTGCAGATATTGATGAGTGTGCTCTGAACAACGGCCACTGCCAACACAACTGCTCCAACCAACCAGGAAGCTTCAGCTGCCGGTGTGCCTCAGGCTACCAGCTGCTGCAGGATGGACTCACCTGCACAGGTAAAACACTGGAGCAGGAGTCAGGTATCGATCCATTCACACCTCTAAGTGAAGAAGGGAACAGTTCTTCCTACGTGAAGGAACAGTGGATCAAAATGTTATCATACACCAGAGACATTGTAACCAATTCAAATGATGTTGAAGGCCTCTGATAGTGCGGGGTAGTTTAATCATCAAAGGGATCTTCTCTTCTTCAGTATATTATCCAAAGAAGCCTTTTTGGTCTCTTGATCCAAACAAGCTGCCTCCTTTTAACATTTCCTTCTTTGAAACCCCACTCACCTGACCCTCTAAGCTTTTGAAAACGAGTTCTAAAATGAATTGTAAAAAGTGTTCGACTGTAGAATGAGCCTTTCATATGGAGTCGTGTTGTGCCTCTAGAGAAGAGCTAACTAAATGTTTCCGATCCCACAGATGTGGATGAGTGTTTGGCAGTGAACGGGACCTGTGATCACATTTGCATGAACACTCAGGGATCTTTCCAGTGCTCCTGCAGGGCCGGATACCAGCTGCACATCGACAGCCACACCTGCGTGGGTCAGTCACTCAGCCACACTTCCCACTGTTTACCTACTCATTATAGGCATTTAAACCGGCTGATTTACCAGCATGCAGAGAGAAGAAAACTGCCATGAATATGCTATCTCATGTTCGCAGTTTTGTGTGTGTCTGTTTATGTAAACGGCTCTCGTAATGGCACATTTTGAAGGATTAGTGAGAAGAGAAAGTGAGAAATGTGTTGCATAGCAGAAATATGGGTGTTCAAAAAAGATGTTTACCTTGTTTCAAGTTTCAAGGCTTTTATTGTCCTGTGTACATAGCTACAGTGTAGTTATGACAACCTGCTTAGGTCACAGGCTCCTCCAACAGTGCAACACAATCAAACAGATAAGATAGTACAAGTAAATAAAATAGGATATAATAGAAACAGAATATGATAGAAACTGTGCAGAATAGTCTACAGTAATTGGAATATTGATATATATTATATATGTGAGTTTATGTAAAAAAAAAGTTTCTGTGTGTGTTTCTGTGTGCTCAGATATTGATGAATGTAAGCTCCAGCGTGGTGGCTGCTCTCAAACCTGCACCAACTCTCCAGGAGGACACATCTGCCACTGCCCTGCCCCCCTGCTGCTGCACAGCGACAACCACACCTGCATCAGTACGTCTCTCATTTCAGTGTCTACATCACATTATTAAGCATTCTATTTCATAGGAGGCGTGTGGCACAGTGGAGTCAGCATGTCGGTGTGGGGATTGCCCACAGTATTGAGTATGTAAGTCGCTTTGGATAAAAGCGTCTAACAAGTAACATGTAATGTAATGTAATATTTCAATAGGATATGATAACCCTTTAATGGTCAGATCAAGTCTGACATTTGACTTGCATCAGAGCAGCTCAATGTGTGACATCAACATAGACAAATATCAATTATGAAATATGAATTGCAACTAATTATCATGTAAAGTCGTATCAAATAGCAAGTCAAACTGCTTACATTTTAGTATTCCATGATTTTACTGATGCCCATCCAACACAGCTTTAAAGAAATGTACTCTGTCAATAATTCGTTCTTTAGGACTGGTTACAGTAGCACTAATTATCAGATCAAATGGTTGAAGTAGTTTAAATAGTTGTTTAAAAATACTTAAAACAGCAGCTTTAACTTATTATTTTTATTACTTTTTTCATATGGTCTGTCATTTTTAAATGTGACTATTTTCATTGTTGATTAGTTGCCGATTCACTCTTTCAGTGATTTATCAACTAAAAGTATATATATTATTAAAGGAAATTGCATTTTAATTGGAACATTAAAACAATGTAATAATCTCACAATTTAAAGTCTGGAATTAGAAGGTTTTTGGGGCATTTTGGCTTGAAAAATGTAAGATTAGGTCATTTCACTATTACTTGACGAATCTATTTAGTTTTGCCCAAGCCAGTATTATAATCTGTAAACACTTAGTGTTAAAACCTTTTCTTCTTCACCTGTACAGATGTCACTTCTTGTAAGCTGAGAAACGGTGGCTGTGAACACGTCTGCAGCGTGAGAGCGGAGGGTCAGATCCGCTGCAGCTGCACAGCCGGCTGGAAGCTCGGCGACGACCAGAGGAGCTGCGTCGGTCAGATCCATTTTGTCTCCTCACTGCCACCTTTGTTTTTAAATTGCTGACCTAGTAGGCTTCGACTGAACTTAATTCCTCCCAGAAATTAAGCTGTCTATACATTTCACCATCATTTTAAAAGGATTTTGGGAACATTTAATGCTATTTCATTTGAGGTCATTAACATCCAGCAACGTTAGATAGGATTTTCTTTTATTTCAAGTATTTATGTTAAAATAACTCAGTTGTATGCCTTCAGACTTCACAATCAAAACAACCTTATGATGAAACAGCCATACAAAGATCCCCAGAGGCTCATTTGCAAATGTGTATTGCTTTGTACTGCTTTTTAGGACTTTAAATGGCTGCACTCAACTTCTCTTTTATTTAGTTTGTGCCAGGTTGATAATTAAAATAAACTGTATCTCGGTTAAAAGGCCAATGCCGAAATTTGATAATTGACCTTATGACTCTGAACAGTTTAGCTGCGGCCAAATTTCATGTGTGATAAGCCTGTGTGTGAGCAGCCGAGCATTCCTTGTCACTGAGCCATAAAGGAAATGAACAGACTGCATAGATAATATGTGTTTTTTAATGTTGTGAAATGTTTAACTGTTTAACCTTTTGTCATAAGATGTGAACGAGTGCGGGGACTTTACAAACGGAGGCTGTGAGCAGCTCTGTGTGAACCATCCTGGAGCGTTTCACTGCAGCTGCCGGGGGGGCTACGAGGTTCAAACTGACGACCGCACCAAGTGCAAGCGTGAGTCAAACATCAAACACAAAATATGTCTGGCAGCTTACAAAATGGACCTAAATGTTTCTGATCCACCAAAATGTGGATGAGTGATAACAGTATGGGGAAGTGTAATATTGAGAAAGTAATCATATTACAATAATATTGTAAGGTTGACTATTGGGGCTTTAAAAAATATGAACACAATGAGATTGTTGGTAAATAATCATCAGTAATGAGGATATCATGACTGAGTGAATAAAAAAACGACATCAATTTACTGTATTGTTCTCTACTTTTGTAATATTACGATATCAAAAATATAAGATGATATGTAGTCTCATATCACAATATCAACATAATACGTACATATTTCCCAGCCCTACAACAGTATTAGCAAAAGGAACTGCTTTAGTCTGTTTTTTTAAAGGATTTAAATATTATAAAATGCTTATTAACGTCCCTGCTGTTACAGCTGTGTGTAACACTCAGTGTCAGAACTATGGAGTGTGTGTGGCTCCAAACAGCTGTGACTGTCCTCCAGGCTACCCTGGACTGGGCTGCTCAGGTACAAAACTTGACTATTTGACATGGAGAACATTGATGTAGAAGTGTATATATTTATTTACTGCTGCTGTGAGAAATAGACTATTGTTGATGATGTGTTTCAGCCTCGTGCTCCCCACCCTGTGCTCACGGAGGAACCTGTATGCGCTGGAACAAATGTCTGTGTCCTCCTGGCTGGAAGGGAGCAGGATGCCACACAGGTACCTCACCTCTGACATTAAAGCTGAATCAGTGACTTTTACATATAGGGAAAGTCCCTTACATTCAAGCCTTTGCCAAACGATTGCATGGAACAGTGATTAAGCTTAAAGGTCCCCTATATTGTTTTTCATTACTTTATTGTAGGTCTCAGATATATACAAAACATGTCTCTGAAGTGTTTGGCTTGAAATACCAAACAGATCATGCATTGCAGCCAGAGGTCGCGTTAACCAAATATTTTCCGTCTATGACGGATTTTTTTTAACAATGACGGACAAATCTGAAAGCAGTCCGTCATTTTGACAGATTAGAACAAACTCGGAACAGCGCCAAAGTCTCCCTGCAGCGAGGCTCCGGTGTTATGCATGCTCTCCAAAAAGGAAATTATACCGTTTCCAAACCTAACTGTGCCGTACAAATCATTGAAATGTCTGTGAGTTGTGGCTTTACGCTGTGCACGTTCCCCCCCCCCCCCGTTGACAGTTCACGAGCATGCTTCCCCCCCCCCTCTTCAGAGTTGTGTAAAGGCCGACAGGTAATTCTGGATTTTGACGGAAGTTTTACGATCCTGTCCGTCAAAATGACGGGCAGCGAAAAAGTCTAGCGCAACCTCTGATTGCAGCATCCCATAATCCCCTCTGTTTCAGCCCTGTTTCAAAAGTGCTGATTCTCTGTCTGTTACTTTAGATGCAAATAAGGAGCCCCTCCCCACGCCCCTCTGAGAGGTATTTGGTTAAAAAGAACACAATAGTGCTCTAGGAGGAGATTCAGGTGATAAGGTGTGGGGGGGGGGGCTTACCTTGGTTGGTGATTGGCTAATGGTTACACAAGACAAAAAAACATTATGACATCACAAATTCGCCAAGTTTTTATATAAATGGATCAGGACAAAAAGTGAGCAAATCTTTTTTCCTGAAACTTTCAGAATCTCTTTACACAGAGGGGACAGATTTTCAGACAGAAAAAGTGGAATCAGAATCAGCTACCCTACGGCGAAATATGGCCATAGTGCGTGCTTTTCGTCGTCCAATCCTTTTCTCAAGGCTTTTTAAACGCCTTCGATTCTGAACCAGCGTTGCAATTATAGCATTCGATGGGTGGCTCCGCATTTGTGTCAAATCCCTAGTTGGCTGCAATAACCCAGTTACAAAGCTGTATAACATGAGCACAAAAATCACAACTTCAGTCAACTCCATCTCCATCATGTCTGAGGTCGGAAGGTGGGCGTGGCAGTATACGCCGTGAAGTTCTTCTTCTCTCGTTTTTTTGGCGGATTGCAAACAACTTTAAGGTGCACTGCATACTGCCACCTACTGTACTCGCCGTGAAGTGGTTTGCAGCCTGCCAGTAAACCCAAAGCAGAAGAAGACGAAGTGACGTCAGCGGCTCATTTGCGTAATCTCCGATTTATTCCAGTGTGAACGCGATCTGCACTTAGTGCCCTGGGGTACTAGTACCCTAGTACCCCAGACAAAGTGCCGGCACTAAGTACGGCAAAGTACTTGGTGTGAAAGCGGCTATTGGCACATTTCCCCGTATAGTAATTACTCTTACGGCCAGAGAGGGGAGACAAAAGCTCTGCACTCCAGCTTTTATGCATCACTTCTGTACAAGCAAGCACTGCAGAGTCTATAAGCATGCTGGGATAGAAGCTATTTTAGTAAAGAAAGCAGAATGCAGTAAACAAAAAAAAATCCTGTTGTTTAAAAAGTTACAAGATGCTCACATTTTTATCGTCCTTCTCTCAGCGGTGTGTGAGCTGCCCTGTGCTAACGGTGGTCGCTGTGTGGGGGCCTGAAAACCTGCCAGTGTCCCTCTGACTACACCGGCCCCCAGTGCCTCCTGCGTGAGTAACAGAAGCACAAAACACATCTGGCTCCAGTTACAGCCACCATGCAGGTCTAATAAAATGTGTTGTACCATGATGGAAAAACAAATCATGTTTTGGACAACACAATGTTACTTTAAATGACATTTTTTCCGACATAAACACTTCTATTTCAATGTGTGTGTGTTGTGTGTGTGTGTGTGTGTGTGTGTGTGTGTGTGTGTGTGTGTGTGTGTGTGTGTGTGTGTGTGTGTGTGTGTGTGTGTGTGTGTGTGTGTGTGTGTGTGTGTGTGTGTGTGTGTGTGTGTGGTGTGTGTGTGTGTTTGTGTTTTGCAGCCTTGTGCAGTCCTGTCTGCAGAAACGGGGGAAGATGTGTGGATGTCAACAAATGCACATGTGTTGGTGGTTGGCAAGGAGCTCGCTGCCAAATAGGTGACATTACACTTACTCAAAACCAATCAAGCAATAATATTATCATATATTTCATGAATATCTCATGAGAATTGTTCCCTAATTGTCTGTGTCTGCAGAATAGAACGTGTTTTGAATCAATGAGACCATATGACTTCTAATAGCTTTTACTTTAACGAGGTGCTGAATTTGTTCTCAGCTCCTGTTACCTTTTACACACAAAGTTCAATTCACCTTCATCAGGAGGCAGGTTTGACCTCCTAGAGAAGCCACTATGTGAGGTTTCATTATTCCACCAGAAATTGGGCCTTTGAACAAAATGGGGTTTTGGTTGTTACTAGTTATGGATGCAGCAGTTTTCCTGTTTTCAGATTATTTTGTGTTTGCTGCCTCATGCAGATTTTCTTTGGGGGACAAAGACAGCAGTGATGTTCGCTTTAACCTGTGTTAACCTGTGTTTTCTGTATTTTGTTTTGTCTTTTTTCCATTGATGAACTTTTCTGTATTAACTTTGGTCTGTTTTCTTCAAAGATGTGTCTTTTTTGTGAAACGCTGTTCTTAGTCCTCTAAAAACCCCTTCAATTGAAACAATCTGAAAGGTAGAGAAAACATTACTACTGAAGAACATAGAGCTGCCAGAAGTAAATGAACAGAAATAAAAAAGGGCAAGCGATTAAAAGAGATTTTTTTGTTGCTATTTCTTACATATTTGTTTTTGTAATTGATCTCCAGTTATCTTTCGCTTTTAACTGTCTCCAATGACAACCTTTTAAATTACTTGACAGATAAATTGATGATGAAAATATTATGTTTATGTCCTGGTAGACATGGCTTTATTTAAAATAAGCCGATAAGGTTGGATACAGTATGTAGCTCTACAGGCTGCCAATAAGTGGAGCTGTAGAGCCGCACCAGAATATCTAAAGTTAATGTTCACTGATATTTGAGAAAGTTGCTTAATTTACAGCGTCTATAACAAGTGTTCAACACTACAGCTTGAAGTGTGGTCAGAAGTAAAAACTCAAGATGGTTTATTTTGGGATTACAGAGTATAACAGAGTTGGATCTTTAATAGTGAATAAAAGAAAGAGAAAGGCTTCCCTCCTCATGTTGTATTCAAAACAAACAGTCAGTGTGCAGTCCAGTTTGTCTTGGCCCCTGATCCAGGTCACTGTTCATCAGTCATAACACCAGTTTCCCCTGCATCAATATCACTAAAAGATGATCCATTACATCTAAATGCATGTTTTTCTGTCTCCCTCAGAGCCCGTTCAGTGTCACAAACCATGTAAAAACGGTGGAGTGTGTGTCGGCCTCAACAGGTGCCGCTGCGTCAAAGGATATACTGGAATTCACTGTGAAACGGGTTTGTGTGTGTGTATGTGTGTGTGTGTGTGTGTGTGTGTGTGTGTGTGTGTGTGTGTGTGTGTGTGTGTGTGTGTGTGTGTGGTGTGTGTGTGTGTATGTGTATGTGTTTGTGTGTGTGTGTGTGTGTGTGTGTGTGTGTGTGTGTGTGTGTGTGTGTGTGTGTGTGTGTGTGTGTGTGTATGTGTATGTGTTTGTGTGTGTGTGTGTGTGTGTGTGTGTGTGTGTGTGTGTGTGTGTGTGTGTGTGTTTGTTTAAGAGACCTTTTCTTTGCCGTCACCTTGCATTAAGACTCTTGCTGTGTGTTGTGTGTCTGCAGCTCTGACCACGCCCTGTGTGCCGCCCTGCCAACACGGGGCCACCTGCAGTCCTCACAACACCTGCACCTGTCCAGAGGGGACGGCAGGCCTGCGCTGCGAGAAGCTGTGAGTATCAACAACAACAACAACAACAACAAGATACACAAATAACACCACGATTCATTCATGTGTGGTCTGTCTGCTGCTCATTACTGGTCTGCCTTTTCAGGAAGTTTGTTTCACTCAAGCACATTATAGAATCAGAATCAGAAACAGGTTTATTGCCGGGTAGGTTGACACGTACGAGGAATTTGACTTGATGTCATGGTGCATACATAAAAGTAAAACACATTTTTAAAACTAAATACAATTCGGAATTATATTAACAATTGCACAACTTTTTAAACACTGATCATGTCATTTTCACAATTTCTCTCAAGTATTAATGAATCTGTGCAAATGTAAAAATGTCATATGATTTATATTATGATAATGACTTATTGACTGTATTGTTATGAATGTGTGTTTGTGTCCTAGGACGTGCCCTGTGGTCACCACGGTGGTCAGCAGGGCTCGAGCCGTAAGAAAGGCGTTCAGGGAGAGTTACGTGGACCGCTGCGGACCCCTGGGGATTCGGCTCTGCACTAAATACAGGTTTCTTACTTGTTTTCTTATTACATCCTCTAGATCAGTGGTTCTCAACTGGTGGGTCACGACCCAAAAGTGGGTCGTGGACCCGTTTTAAGTGGGTCGCAGATGTGTGAGTGAAGAAAAAGAAAATTGAAAAAAAAAAGTATCTTTTTTTTCTAACGCTGTGCATGCAGTAGGCGTTGGACTGGAAATACCGGAGACCATAAACGGTTTTGAAAACTTCTGTCACGTAGTGATCATCTTCTCAATAAAACATCTTTGCTGATGTTTTTTCAAGTCTTCTGGCCAATCAGAATCAAGATTGTTGCCGGAAGTCCCCACGGAGAATAACTTTGCGGTAGAACTATTCTTTATACATCCATGGGTACAACCAGGGCCGGCCCGTAGCACTGGCGTTATAGATGTTCGCCTAGGGCGCCAGATCTGGGGAGGCGCTGCGCTGACAGCTCTGGGATGAAAAAAAAAACATTTTGACCGTTGGTGCTCATCCTAATTTTCGGCCTTGATGTAACAATATTCTTAATTATGTAAATGTAACACCCTTTTCACCCCGGTTACACTTTTTATTTGCCCTGTACGATGGGCGCTGTAAGTGATGAAAATGGGGATGTTGGCTTATCAGGCGCCCGCAGCTCACAGCCAAAATGCGAGCGTGGGAGCGAGCGAGGGAGAAAGGGAGGGTGCACCGGTACCAACGCTGTTGTTATTAGAATCTGGTGCTAGCTGCTCTAACGAATATAAGAAAAAGATGTTTCTACAATAATGTGGAGGGAGAGTCCTCTCCAGTCAGACTGAGAGGCTGATAACTACAGCTCAGTGAGGTAAAGGACTCTCAGTGTTTAGATAGTTAACTTTAGTCCAAGTTATCTCAGTGGGTCTCAAACGTTTTGATCACAATTTATGTAAACACATATTTCCAAGGCACTCCTTTATAATTATTGGGATAAACAGGTTTGAAATCATTTCAATGCATACTATAGGACAGTAAACCAAAAATATCGTTTACAACTGGAGATAAAAAAATATGTATAAATTAAAAAAATTTAACGAAGTAAAATAAGATATGAATGAACAACAAAAATAAAATAAGTTACATTTATTTGTTATTGGCTATGGTAGGTTATTGGTTATGTTCACATACTTATTTGATTATTCAAATGTAAACCGATCTTTTTCATATGGGTGTTTTAGAGTTGTACCCCCTAGATCTAGTAGTAATTCTGCTCAAAGTACACCAGATTGAAGCATTTTACTTTAAAATGTTCAAACAATTCTTCCCGGGGGAGCATACCCCCGGACCCCCCTAGAGGATGTGACGTCCATCCCCCATACCATTGTGTATTCCTTGGATACTCTATCGATCTTTATCTTTTCTATTGTATAATTTTCTGGCTGGTGGGGCGCCAGCTAAAATCTCAATTGTCTAGAGCCGGCCCTGGGTACAACTTCAGATCAAAATGAACACATAATGAAATATGACCCCCGGTTTGATGATTGACAAGCCACAGAACAATCGGGGCTATCTAACCTTACCCACAATTTAAAGTAATTCACACAGACTATCTCCTCTTTATTCTTCTCTCCGTGAGGAGCAGCAAGTTCAGCTGTTAGAACAAAGTGAAAAACAAACAATGGCATAAAATATGATTAAAATATCGGGTAGTAATAGATTTATTTATTTTCTTCTCAGTGTACCAGAATGCGTAGTTTATATGTTAGTATTTATAAAAATCTCCTAGGGGAGAATCCCCCCAGACCCCCCCTTCTGGGGTTGGGTTTTCAGCACATGTGCCTTTTTATGTTATACAGTTAAAGGTGGGGTAGGTAAGTTTGAGAAACCGGCTCGAGATACACTTTTTGTTATATTCCATGAAATGCTCTTAACATCCCGATAGCAATGAATATCTTAAAGTGCTTTGACAAAAAATCCATAAAAAAATGTCATCTGTGGACCAATCATTTTAGCCGGCCCGGCTAAAATAACTGGATGGCCTACCTGCCTGTCAGCCTTCCATCTGTGCACAAACTTACCTCGTGCCCTCATTGGTCATGTGCGCGTTCATGTGTGTTGGAGGAGGGGCTCTGTAAGGAACTGGCAGATTTGTTCTGGCTGTGTATTTTCAAATTCTAGCTCACTCGAGCTGGTTTCTCCAAAATTACCTACCCCACCTTTAAGCTTTGATTCCATCATCTCATTAAACCTTTTTTTAAAGCATACTTTAGTTCTGTGAAGGGATATATGCACTGTACTTCACTTTAATTAATATTGTATGCTGAAAAGCGTATATATAGCACGATTTTTTGTTGAATAGATTTGAGTGGTTCAACATTTCGGGTCGCGATGTATTGACAAAGAAAAAAGTGGGTCCCGAGGCCTGACCAGTTGAGAACCACTGCTCTAGATCTTGATTAGGTAGTTCATAAAGTTGAAGATGGTGGAGCTATCGATGTTCATATTTAGATCACTACTTCTATCACTAATTCAATCAGTTAATAGTTATTTATTGTCAGAATGAAACATAATTGCCTTATGAAATACAAAGGTAGTAGCAGCATGTGTTGACCATTATTTTAAAGAGGCGCTATCATGCTTTTTGGGGTTTTCCCTTTTCTGAAGTGTGTTATTAGGGTTTTTTGTGCATGTGATTGTTCTGAAAAAGCAAAAAAGTGGGGAGTTTCTCTCCCACACAGTTCCCCCCCCCCCCCCTGCCTGAAACGCCTCCATTGGACTCCTTTGTTTACTTCTGTAACATAGTAACATCAGTATGTAACACTTTTGCATCTATTGGTTAGCGCTCCAAAACATCGTAAGTGATAGGCTAAGGGGCGGGACATCTCCAAGCGGTTGACCAATCACAACAGAGCCGGCCAGCTAACCAATCAGAGCAGACTGGGCTCTGGGTTCAGACAAAGGGTGAAAAGAGGTGCTGCAGCACAGGCAGTATGAGAAAAATAAAGAGCTTTTTGAACATTAAAGAATGTAAACATGTCACAGTAGAGGCACTAAATAAATACTAATATCAACTTGAAAATGAGCATTGTATGTCCTCTTTAAAAATAACTAAAGGTGAAGTTAGATCCGTGAGTATTTAAAATAATATTAAATGTTTTGTGTTTGTGTTTCCAGGCTGAACCAGGCTCGTGTGTACCTGCAGGCCTACATGGTGGGCTACAAAACACAGTGTCCAGGGAGGAAGGGCTGAGGAGCCATGTTGTAAACACAGACAACAGTTTGGGTAACACACAAAAACTGAAATTGGATGAATGAGAGGGTGTTGTGGCTTCTCTCAGCTGTTATGTTAAAATAAAAAGGGGGACATCACTGTAACAACGAGTTTATTTAATCACCACTATATTTAAAATTTCATGAGCACATATTTATAAGTCTATAAAATTTGCAATGGATTCATTATTTGTCATTTATGTGTATGGCAGCTGAAAGTAATAAAACTTCTTGAAATGGTGACAATATTAAGAACACTTTTTACAGTCAGGTTGTCACTGATTGTCAAATAATAAGGACTGTCTGTGTGATACTGTAGTCAAAGAGTTCACAGGAATATTTCCAATAAAGTTAAACTGAAACAAACATACATTTTTCTAGTAGAATAGCTGTGTGAATGACAGGATAGGGTAATTTCTGACCAAGCTTACATCATTTCTGACTAAAATACTCACAATATAACAGAACTGCAGTGTGGCTGACTTTTTTATTCTTATCACCGTGTTGTCCTGATATCTGCCCTCTTACCTAGCACCCAGTTTGGTGACCTTGTTTAGCCTATTGCATTTCTTTATGTCTTATGTAAGAGGCCTTAGTATGACCTTCTTTGATTCAGAAGCTCCAGATGTCGTGGGAGATTTCCTCCTTTAGGGTTTTACAGATGTTACTATAAAAAGTTGTATTATATTGTTTTTTTTAAATGTCATACAAATCCATGCGTGCCTTTAAGAAACCCCAGGGGACAAGGCACAATTAACAATAAAGACCTTGCAGACCCACAACAATATTTAATGCGTCTCCTCGTACAATTACAGTATATAAGACATTTATTCAAAAGAAACAACACGGTCTACAGAGACCCTGAATCCCTGATTATACAGTTTTTGTTGTTATCTTAAACCTCCACCTAACCCGAAAATAATCAAATGGCAGACCACAACTAAGCGATACATCCATATGTTTTAAGGTAAGTTGTTAGAGACCAAAGCAAGGGTGTATATTGGTCTGAAATTGAAAATACCAATGAATGCTAATAAAGCTCTAATTCTGCTGGACGTGCAATGTAGATAGGCAACATCTATCCTAAACATTAGCAATTACATCGTCGCTGTCGTATTTTTCTGCTCCAAGAAATATTTATAAATGAATATTTTCTAATATTTCTGGAAATTGTGTTGATGAGGTGTGTCACTCTTCACGTAAAGTGGCACAGATTTGGTAGGGTTGGGGTGAGAGGAAGATGCTGACACGGGGCTTGAACACAGCCTCCACACCCGGAGGCATGGAGAAGGTGAAGCGCTGCAGGAAGGAGGTGAAGAGGAGGAAGAGCTCTATCCTGGCCAGGTTCTCCCCGAGACACACCCGTTTACCTGCGGCAAAAACATAATCAGAGAAATGCAAATACATAAGTAAAAAAAAGAAACAATTTATCATCTGAGCTATCTTCACCTGAGACGATTCAGTTTTACTTAAAATTGCCTCACCGACATTAAACATGAAGGTTTGTTAACAGGCTTTAGGGAGTATTACTAACATTTATACATTTACACATGTAAAAAATATTTTTGCATCTACCGACATTTATCAAAAAGTCTAATAAATTGAATCAAGTGATTTCACTCCAGCTTAACAAACACAACTGTCCAACCAAACTAACTGTCGATAGCCAGACACAACAGTCAGGGACAGTGTTATAGGTTTTCAGAGCTTAAGGGTGGGGTAGGTAATTTTGGAGAAACCAGCTCGAGTGTGCAAGAATTTGAAAATACACAACCGGAAAAACTGCCCCTTCCTTCAGACTTCCTTACAGAGCCCCTCCTCCAACACACACGAACGGGCACATGACCAATGAGGGCACGAGGTAAGTTTTGCCCAGATGGAAGGCTGACAGGCAGCTAGGCCATCCAGTTATTTTAGCCGGGCCGTGAAAATGATTGGTCATGAATTTTTTAATGTATTTATTGTCAAAGCATTTCATGTATTCATTGCTATCGAGATGTTAAGAGCATTCCATGGAATATAACAAAAAGTGTTTCTGAAATAAATTACATACCCCACCTTTAATCAGTGCAGTAAACGCCAATTTTTGTTCCTGTTATGCGTTCATTGCAGGATGTAGGCCTACTTTTGATTGTTTTCGACAGGAAAAGCCAATCTTTATGAATTAAACACAAACATTTAATCTGAGAAGAAATATTTACACCTAATATTCACCTGGCCATATTTGAAACTTTAACTTAAACTTGAATACCTATGTTATATAATAACAAACAATATATTACTTAAAAGGATTCCAGTGTATCAAAGTCAACCACTGATTTGGTTATCTGCACCATCACTATATAATATTAGAAAAGGTACTTGCCCACAGAGAAAGGGATGAAAGCAGCTCGCTGCACAAACTTCCCCTCCTTGTTCAGAAAGTGTCCTGGGTTGAAGGTGTTGGGCGTCTCCCACTCATTCTTGTCAAACAGCACCGAGGTCAGGTTGGGCACTACTATAACTCCCTGGTGATTGGAACCATAATGGTAATTTATGAAGATGCAACATAGTTGTTCAATTTGCGTAAATATTGAATTAGAGAACTGACCTTTGGGATTGTGTAGCCTCCTATCTGAACGTCCTTGTTGGTCACATGAGGCAGGTTGAAAGGAACTACGTTTCCAATTCTCTGGATCTCGTGTATGACGGCGTCAGTGTAGGGCATGTTTGGACGATCTTCCATGGACGGCTCTCTGGACTGTCCAATCACGCTGTCTATCTCCTCCTGGACCTTCTCTGTGCAACAGGAGAGCCAAGGAGAGAATGAATGGAAGACAAGACACACGAGCCAATATAACTTATGATGATTTCTTGTCCTCATGTGTGAGCTCATACCCTGAATCTCGGTGTACTTTGCCATGTAGAGCACACCCCAGCGCAGGGTGATGGAGGTGGTCTCAGTGCCAGCTCCGAACAGATCAAACGAACACTTCACCAGGTTGCCTTCATCAAAACAAGCGTCTAGCTCATCATCCCTCTTGTCCTGATGCTGAACATTTTGAAAATGCACTTGTGATGTCAATTTAGAGGTACAGTTTACAAACAAATGTCTAGTGTGGGGGGAAGGCAGGGAAAGAAATGGATTATTAAACAATGATTACCTAATTGTCATTATATCAAAGAGAGCCCATTCATTTTAATTTATATTTCTCATAAATATATATAATTGTTTTACTACAGTTTTTACATTGAAATGCTAAATAGCAATCCTTTTCGTTTTTTGGATTTTAACTTACATTTGAATAATATTAAGTCCAACTAAGAGTGCTTCTAATGATTGTATTTTCTTTTATGTTGTCAATTTATTTTTAAAAATCACAATGACGATTTCCCACAGCCTTAAGGAAACCCTAAAAACTGTCAATTCAGCATCTGGGTTTACAATCATATAAGGCAAAACAAAACAAATATTATCAATTCAGCTAGTATCTGGTTGATTTGCTCGTAGTTTGTCCACTAACCTTCTGAATCTCAGTCAGGAAACAGTCAATGAAGTCTCGAGGATCAGAGGGGTTCCAGTCTTCCCTGTGCTTATTAATTTCTGTTTTTATGAAGTCCATTATATCACGATAACCCTTTTGAAGAGTGTGGTGTGGCCCCGGCAAACGCCTCATCAGCACAGGAAAGGAGTTGTACAGCTGTTGATATCATTATCATACAGTGTAAATAAGACTTAGAGCAAATGTGTATCAAAGAGCAAACACTCAACTCTATCAGAGACTTAAAAGAGTGTCCAGATGCAGGAACAAGACCAGTACACTGAAGTAAGATTGAAATAGTTTTGAAAGGATGTACCTGTGCCCAAATGGATCCTTCAATCTGGACCCCTTTGTCCAACAACGTTATCAACTGCAGAAACTTCTCATCCTTGTAGTCAAAGCGATGGCCAAAGATCAGGGAGCAGATGATGTTGGAGACGGCGTTCTTCATTAAAAACTGTAGATTGAAGGGTTTGCCTGGACAGTTGATCAAACATATCAAAATGAAAAGTGTGATCAGTAATAGGCTTTTTTCTGTATTCTCAATACCTTTAGACATGTGTACACTTTACCTTTATGACTAGCGATTTCTTTGGACATGTACCTAAATTCCTCCAGTATGGAAGATTCATGTGATTTCTTGCCAACACCAAAGTATTTGAGAGTGGAGAGGGCAAACTGCCTTTGTTGCTTCCACGAATATCCACTAGCAAAAACAATACCTGATGAGAAAAAGTGAATTTAGATAAAAACTTTAGAAATGCAGCTTGTGACATAAGTGAGACACATAAAAACAGTCTGTATGTAGAAGTAAACGCATCTTTAAGTTTATATCCAAATTAACAAATAAAAACACATGATTAACCGTAGTTTTTATAATCAACAACATATTTTAAAACTTTCACAATATGATGTCCCACAATTTGCAATATTGGGACATCAAATGTATGATCAAAATAATTGCCTGTCACTATTCTTCACACACCATGATTCAAGGCTTTTATTGTCATGTGTGCATACAGTAACTACAGTGTAGTTATGACAATGCAAATCTTAGGTCCCAGGCTCCTCCAACAGCGCAACACAATAAAACAGATACAATAGTGCAAGTAAAAATATAATATAATAGAAATAGTGCAGAATAGTCTACAAGTAATTGGAATATCGATATATATAAGTTGCAAACAGATGAATGTTATCGATGTTCTTTCAAAAGTTCAGGTGTTTAACAGTCTTATGAGTATAATAAAACTTCTGCGAACAGTAAATAAAATATTGTAGAAGCACAGAAACAGTGTTCAAATTCTGCTTTTACAGACTGATTTTGGTTGTGCGTACCTTGCAAAGTAATGTTATAAGTGTCAAATGAATGTTTTAATGTACTGTAAATACATCAGATGTTAGGATTATTAATTAATTATCAGTAAGTTCTAATCAAATCTATGACTTGATTTCTCTCTAAAAAGGCAATGTAAAAATCAAAAAATTGTAAAAATATGAACCACACCGCTGCTAACTGATAATGAAAGCATCCGTGTAAATATTGTTACGTATTATTAGTAGGGCCGGGACTCGATTACAAAAATTAATCTAATTAATTAGAGGCTTTGTAATGAATTAATCGAAATTAATCGCATTTTTAATCGCATATAAATATTTGACCTGAGAACAGTGAGAAGCAATTTTTTTCACATGGATTTTAGTATACCATTAGGCGCATTCACACCGCAGTACTTTTCCCACAAAGGTTCATGAGAACTTAGTTCATGAGAACAAATGAAGCCGCTGACGTCACTTCTTCTTCTTCTGCTTTGGGTTTACTGGCAGGCCGCAAACCACTTCACGGCGTATACTGCCGCCCAAAGTCCCCGGCCCGAAGTCCCCGGAGTTGGGGACTGGCTTCAGTAGAAGCTGCTGGGAGTCCCAGCAGCTTCTACTGAAGCCTTCCGAGTAAATCGCCAGAACGCCGACACCTCCTCATCTCCACCGCTCCCATGTTTTATTTTGTGTTGCCATAAGTTAGTCTCTCTGCGTTTCTGCGCTGGGCTAATGCTAATGCTAATAATGCTAATGCGAGGATAATAAAATGGCGGCTTCACCAAACTTTTTGGGAGTTTTACGGGGCGTGGTTTGCAATCCGCCCAGCCAATCAGAAATATAGCTCTTTTCTCACAAGAGAGCCGTTCGAAAGTCCCTGCTCTCTAGCAGCTCTCTGCTCTCTAGCAGGGACTTTCGTGGGGGTAAAAAGGTTCTCATGAACTAATTTTAGTACCGGCTCTTTTTGGTGTGAACCATAGACTGTATGGTGTGAACGCGATAAAAGAGGCTAACGTCCACGCTAGCTTCCACGCTAGCTGCTATATGTTTTGCATTGAGGTGATACTTGAGGCTTGATGTGCTGCGGTGATATGCGAATTCCTTTTTGCATAATTTGCACACAACCGTGCTCTTATCGAAGCTTCCATCCGTCCGTTTTTTAAAACAACATTTCCCACTGTTGTTCACTGTGGTTTGTTGTTGTCTGAAGTCATGAACGTTAGTTGGTGCTCCAGTATAATCGGTACGCCTGAAACTCATCCAGTGAGAAACGTTCCGCGGTGCAAAAATAAGTGCGATTAAAATGCGTTAATTTTTTTAACGCGTTAATTTTTGTGTAATTAATTAATCTTAATTAACGCGTTAAAGTCCCGGCCCTAATTATTAGTACACGTAAAATAATTGATGAGGTAGGTAACCTCCCTCCTACAAGGATAGAAAAAGTGCTTTACCTAGATCAGGCAACACATCAGTATGGATGGGGAAAGCAGGGCGGTCGCTCATGTGATCTCCTTTGCTGAGACCCTCCTGCAGAGTGCTGAAGCCGTTCAACACCACCGTCCACACATGGCCCATCTTCAGGCTGTACACGTTCCCATACTGCTCTGCCAACTGTGGGAGGGAGAACACAAGTGAGTGGGAGGAAAGCAAATAGGAAGCTTTTACCTTGAATTTTTTGAAAATGCCCAAAGACAGGAGAAATACATAAATAACATTACAATGACTTTTGAGTGTTTATTTGTTTTTCAAAAGCTTTAATGTCAGGTGACCCAGTGAGAAATACAATACAGCATCGTATTACTACATTGGACAAGTAGGACAAACCTCTTTTTATTAGATTTTAGTGGTTCTATTTTATACGATTATTGTCAGTAAAATTCTGCAGTTTTACATTGAAAAGTCTTGATTTTTCTCAAAAGCTTCCATATCCTCTGACTTAATGAATCCAAAAACAATGCAGCATTGCATTATTACACTGGAGCAGGACACACCCCTTTATATTGGATTTCAGTGCTGAAAAACTATTCAAAGCTATTTATATTTCTCATAGCTTCCTTATCATAATGACGCCACGTCAATGCCCAATTGTATTGTATTGCACTGTATTGTCTTTATTGGATTTCAAACCGCCTCTAATACTTTTATAAAAATCAGCTCAATTTAATTGAGATATATTTTCTAGATTAGATTAGGTTAGAGGGGCACATGTATTTTTATTGTATTTCAGTCAAACTTCTATTTCATATGAATATCTTCAAGAAGAAAAGGTTCATAGAAATATTTATCGAAAATAGAAGCGGGACTAAAACACGATAAAACAGGTGTGTCCTTTTGTTTAGTGTATACAATGCTCCATTTACTGTCATGTGCCATGGAAGCTATTGAAAGAATCCCATAGTTTATAAAAAAGAAAACAACTTCATAACAATATGTATAAAATAGAGAAGATGCACTAAAATATCATTTAAAAAACGTGTGTCCGAGTACATTGTAGTAATAATATCTGAAATGGATTTTCAAGACATAGAAGATATTGAAAAAACTTCAATATCTTTGTAAAAGAAAATCATTACATCAGTAATCAAAAAAGTGAATGATATAATTATATGCATAAGACATCCATCCATCCATCCATCTTCTCCCGCTTATCCGTGGTCGGGTCGCGGGGGTAGCAGTTCCAGCAGAGAGCCCCACACTTTCTTTTCCCTGACCCCATCAACCAGCTCTGACTGGGGGATCCCAAGGCGCTCCCAGGCCAGCGAAGATATATAATCCCTCCACCTGGTCCTAGGTCTACCCCTCGGTCTCTTCCCAGCTGGACATGCCTGGAACACCCCCCTAGACCAGTGGTTCTCAAATGGGGGTACGCGGACCCCTAGGGGTACGTTGGAGTACTGCAGGGGGTACGTGAGATTTATTTTATGTTAATGAGAAAGAAAAAAACATAAGTAATGCATTTAAACAAACTACTAATAGTAGATTAACTACTTTATTCAAAGGTTTACAGTAATTCTGGATAATAAAATGGGAACAATAAACAGGGTGCTCTCTTTTCCTCTCCCTCTCCTGACAGCCCGTCAGTCTCGTGCAGCTCGCTGAACCTGTAATAAGTGACCCGACAGGAAAGAATAAATATATGTATAACTAGTTTAGCTAGTTCCAGAGTAGATAAACTAGCTAAGTGTGTTAGGTCTAACTCTTAGTGTATTTTGCTCCACTCAACGGTCCGTCACAGCGGACGGAGCTGTGATCATGCAGAGCTGCGTGTTCTCCGTCAGCAGCAGCTGATCTGATATCTGATCTCTCTCTCGCGTCCGGTTAGACTTCACTCGCGTTTATGTCCAAATCTATCAGATCTAGCTAGTTCTAGCTAATGATATGACTGCCTGCTTATCAATGGACCTAAACAATAAGCGTTGCTTGGCAACGGCGTGTGGCTGCAAAGTATAGCGCAGCATTATGCATATGTTTATAGGAGGGCCGGGTCAAAATCCCATGCTCATAAAATGCTCATATATTTTTTCTCTTCATTCCCCACGCCCCAAAAATAAATAAATAAATAGATATACCAATTTTAGGAAAAGTAAGGAAGTTTGAGCAGTGTGGGTTTTATATGAACAGAGTTACACATATTTCAAAACTGTGTTATAACTGCAGTTTGCCTCCCTGTCAGAATGACAAAGATCCTCAGTGAAGCACATGTATCTCACTACATTGTACAACTTATTAAAAAGATCAGTTCAATGCAACTAATGTCGTCTTAGTGTTATTGCTTGATGTTAAAATTGGTTTGCCATGAATTTAGTGATGGAGTGTTTCTCAGTTACAAGGTTGTTGTTTTAATAAATCAGACACCGATGGTGCAGCGCTGTACTGTAGGCTACCTCTTTATAAGCATTTTCCTTAACGAATTGTGTTTGCGCTGATCAGGGGGTACTTGGCTAAAAAAAAATTTCAAAGGGGGTACATTATTGAAAAAAGTTTGAGAACCACTGATCTAGACGCCCGAACCACCTCAACTGGCTCCTTTCGACGCGAAGGATGCACAAGACATATTTATCAAAATCATGAGCATATCTTTTTACTAATATGGTCATTTCACTATGGAGGTTTTACATTGTTTTCTAGTCATTAGAACGATCATTTGTTGATGATCCCTAAGTGAAACCCTGTAGATAGCGTCTGTGAAACTGAACCGGAGTAGAGGGACGTCCACACAGCGGCTTTGGAAAAAGCTTACCGGCGGGCGTGTCTGAAGCTCGACCAACAACCAATCACATGAATCTCCCGCCCCTGACACACAAGCAGCGGTTTGATTGGCTAGAGCTTGTATTGGCATATGATTTGATTGGCTAACGCTTCCACCGAAAGCTTCAGAAGATTCAAACGTTGAACATTGCTAAACTTTTGAATCCTGAGATGCCTGGAAATCTCCGTTTTGCTTCCCACAATGCAGTTCGGCGAAAAGTGAGGAAAAGTGACGTCACCCCATTCAAAGTGAATGGGCAGATGCGTTGGAAGATTTTTTTAACGCTGCTGTGTGGACGTACCGTAAATGTCTGTCTAATGCTACGTTCACACCGGACGCGATGCGAATATTCGCTTCGCTCTAAACGCTCCTATCGCATCGCTCTAGTCGCTCGAGTTTCACCGCGGCTGCCAGATGAGTTTACTCGCATCATTCAAACAAGACGCGCTAGCTCGGGAGCTACAACTACAACAAAATGAACATATTTTACCGTGATTAAATTATAATACACGTTTCTAAATGATGCCGACGTAACAACATACTGATACCGGTTAGTAAAAATCATGAATTAATGCTTGACAAGTCTGCAGACAAGACGGCAGGCGAAAAACCTTTTAAAATGCTTGTTTTCTGAATGGAGATTGGGTCAACCAGGCTAAGCTAACGTTGTATATGCTCACGCCACACTCATAAGAACGGCCTACAGACATAAATAAACCAGCGACTGTATTCGCCATGACACAGACAGTCTGTGGTTTGTTCTTGTTTAACTTTTGTACAGTTTCTGAACAGATATGAGGAGCTGTGATCTCTGTGTGCTAACTGCTAACAGCTAATGGCTGATGTTTTCTGGTTGAACGTCAGTGACGGCAGGCTGAGATCCTCACCGCTGATTGGCTTCCGCGAGAACGCGTCACGTGAATTCGAGTTGAAAAAATTGAACTCTCGCGTTTGACGCGGCCCCCTTCAATCGCCTCAATCGCGTGATTCGCGCCGCGTCCACCGCTTCATGCGCGCCGTCGGAGCGAATTCGCGTCTGATCGCGTCTCTGCATTGACTTTACATGTAATCGCGCCGCCCCCAAACATCGCATCGCGTCCGGTGTGAACGCAGCATTACATCTAACCGCAGGGTTGCCAACTCTCACGCATCTGGCGTGATTCCTATACCGGATCTCCTCTCTGGTTAACAAAAACACCCTGAAAACTCTGGCAGGAGCACTCATTCAAGGGTACTATGACTATGCTTGCACGTCATGGTACCATAGCACCTCCAAGGCGCTAAAAATAAAACTTCAAACATCGCAAAATAAACTGGTCAGACTACTGCTTGACCTTTCATCTAGAACCCACCTCACCTCTGCCCACTTTGACAACCTAGGATGGCTTAGAGTAGACGACAGAGTACAGCTACTTGCAATGGGACTGGTCTACAAGATCCACTACACCTCTATGGTACCCATGTACATGTCAAAATTCTTCCCAAAGGTCAAGGAATACCATGATCATAACACCAGAGGGAGCTCCACAAATCATGTGAAACCCAGATTTGGCACAAAAAGGGGGAATACACGTTTCGCAATTATGCCACATCAAGGTGGAACGCTCTTCCCACAACTGTAAAGGAAAGTAAAACTATACTTACCTTCAAAACCTCTCTTAAAGAGCACCTTCGGGGGAGAGCATTGCAAAACTGGCCCCGGTAATGGTACAAATCTCAACCTGTCGTTCAATGGACAGCTTCCCCCCCCCCCCCATCTATGTATATACTCGCATTTTAGACTCTGTTACTAACTGTATATCTGTAGACTTGGTATGTCTTAAATGTCCGGTTAGGATGTATTAGAACGAAATCTAAAATGAAAATTGTAAATAAGCAATCTGTATGTAAAAAACCACCTGTATGTAAATTGTAAATAAGCCATCTGTATGTCAAATATGTCTTATATGTCTTAAATGACATGATGAATTGGAAATGGGGGACCCTGATGTAAACAAGACAAAAGTCTTTCTCTGGTCTGCATCCCCTTAACAATTGTATGTTTTGAGCTGTACTGTACTGTACCCAATATACAAGCTGTTAATAAACTTTTCAATCAATCAATCAATCACACACGCTTTCACTCTCAATCTCACGCTCTCACGCTGCCCAAACTATTCTCACGCCAAAAACAAGATGAACCGGCTATCGTTTTTAGTTGGTTATTTACAATGTTGAGTTGACAGCTGCTCAAGCTGTCGATCCGCTCCCTCCCCGCCCCCACCACTCTTAACCCTCTGATACACAAGCTATGGAAACCTCCTCTAAGACACAACATGGGTAAAAAATGACCCGTATTGACTTACAGTGTTATTTAATGCATGGTTGAGTGTTTCTCTGCTATATTTTTCTAAATCAACTTATTTCATCATTAAATATTCAAAATATTCATTAAATATCTTGTTTTTGAAAACACTAAATCATTACTTTTGTTTCTCCTTCGTTAATTATTACATTAAAAATAGTTTTTATAATATTACATCAAGTTTACAGACATGGGTCGAAAATGACCCATGTATGCAAGTGTGGTATTTAAAAAAAAAAAAGACATACTATAATAATGATTTTGTCAAAAAACATTTTAGCAGTGATTTGGACCAAAGAATAACACAATTAATATTTGAAATGTTTATTTGTCACTTTGTCACACTCACACATAGCATACACCGTACAACTGATAAAATTAATTTTGAACTTTTTGAACTGTTAGTGTTAGCGTCTTCTCATGTGTGGCATGACCAGCTCTTTGCCCAGCTCCTTTATGAAGAGCTGCCGTGCATTAGTCACACCACCCATGTAACCAGGGTGTTGTGCAGTGTCTGGTGAAGGCGTTGAGGGTGGCAACATCCAGCACATTGTGCCAGAGCACCATGGGCCACCTCCGTGTTCTCCGCTTGCAGGTGTACGTGCGAACCATTTGATCCATTGTGTCCACTCCTGATTTTGTGTGGTTGTAATATTGGATCACTTCTGGCTTCCTCTTAACACTCTGGTCATCCACTGCTGTGTCATCATGCATTGTGCTTAGCAGCACAACAGCCTTCCCCTTTTTCGGGACATAGCTCACCATTGTCATGTTGCCACAGAATCCAAATTTGGAGCTGTACTTCTCTCTCAGTTTGTTTGGCTTCATGACAGGTGGTATGTCTGGCTTGTTCTGGCGAAGAGTCCCCACAAGCGTAAGGTTCTTCTCTAGGAGCTTCTCAGCCAAAGGAATGCTGGTAAAGAAGTTATCCATGGTTATGTTGCGACCTATGAACAGAACAAAAAACATTAATGGTCAATTTAGTCAACATGTAATTCTCTAAATTCTAACATTAAAATAAACCTGATGGAATATTGATTATTATTATTATGGAGTACTGCATTGTATTTTATTCCATTCTATGCTTATAAATTAATCAATTTCTCACAATGGTAATACAAAATGAAATAGACACTATGAGAGAGTGGAAAAGTGATCTAGATATTGTGCTAGAACTTCAAGAGTATATTCACTGTATGTATACTCTGTATTCTATATTCACCTGTGTGTCTTATTCCGCTGGACAACTGTTGGACAATATTCTCGCCAAGGTTCCTCTGAACATCCTCTCCTGGCTGTCGCCCTGTATAGATCATGCCATTGAATGCATAATGGGCCCTTGCATCGCACATCCAAAAGATTTTGATCCCATATTTTGCTGGCTTGCTTGGCATGTATTGTAAGAACTTGCACCTTCCACGGAATGGCACAAGCTGCTCATCTATAGTGACACAATCACTGGGGACGAACACTTTCTTGCAATTGGCCAGGAAACAGTCCCACACATATCTGAATGCAGCCATGTGGTCTGTTTCCAGTCTAACAGCCCTAGTCCTCTTATCATCAAACCGTATGAGGCGGCGGATATCCTCATATCTGTGGAACCCCATGGTGGCTTTATACATCGGATTTTGCAGGGGATCCAGAAAGAGCTCCCGCAAGGCCACATCCCAGCTCTTGTCCCCCCCTGCAAGGAGGGTCAAACCAATAAATGCCGTGAATTCCACTTTGTCGAGGCATCTCCACTCTTTTCCTTTTGTTGCTGCGGCTCTTCGTCCCTCTAAGTTAGTACATCTTAAAAACTCCTCTATGATGTTATCACTAAAGAACAACTCCCAGGCATCTTTTGGTGAAATGATTGTTGAACCAGATACGGGTCCTGGACACCTCCTCAGGATGTTATGGGTTCTTGCTCTGCCTTGAGTGGGGGGTTGCTCATTCCAGTAAGACCCCTTTTTACTTAGCCTATTGGCCTGGGTCTGAGTTTCCTCTTCAGAGGACTCATCAGACGAGTCTTCTAGCTCGTCCAAGGAGTCTTCTTCATCACCAGCAACTTCAGCTTGACCCTGTGGCACATAGTCTACGTCATCATCAGAGAGGTCAGACTCAGAGTCAGAATCAAGGATTGCTCCATCTTCCTTATCCTGTTCTTGATGTAACATCTCGATGACCATTTCAGCCGTGAAACGTGAATGAGTGTGACGAGCCATACTGTGGATGAAGAAAATCAAAATAATATTTACAACATCAGTTGATAAATTATACAGTACACTTTTCTAATTCAAGTTTTATTTTGTTGCCCTAGCTGACATTAGCTTATACCTTTATATGACTGTATTTAAATGTATTTATTTATTATTATGTATGTATTTCCAGATTGACAAATGGGTTGAAAATAGTATAGCGTATTTATTGTGTAAGACATGATTACATTTCATACATGATCTGGCAAGAGAGTTGGCATGTATGCATTAGCTAATATTAGCGACCACGATCTAGAATGGACCTAGCTAACACAAGCTAACATTAGCTAGCTAGAATAGAATATGCTAATGTAATGCTAGCTAGAATAGAATATGCTAATGTAATATTTCTCTTTCCCAACAGGTAAGGATAATGTTCAAATGTTATGTGCAGTTATCTTAGGTAAAACAATTGTAAAACAAGACTTACATGAATCAGATCTGAAGACGCAGCCTGTTTCCTTCTGACAAGAGTGGAATGTGAAATGTTGTCCAGTTGTTTAGTTCTGACCAGCGCCATATTCTGACAAGTGAAAAGTTGTCCACAGTAAAAATGTTCCTAACTGCACACATTTTATAAATCAAAGGTTCCTATCAAATTCACACTTGCACGGGTCATTTCTGACCCATGTGTGGAAACTTGATGTAGTGATACAAAACCTATTTTAGTTCCAAAATATAGACAGAGAAAATGAAAAAAAAATGATTTATGGTCATCAAAAACAAGATATTTAATGAATACTTTGCAATATTAAATGGTTAAATACATAGATTTTAAAAGATATAGCAAAGAAACACAGCCATGCATGAAATAACATAGGAAATGAATGCGGGTCATTTTTGACCCATGTTGTGTTTTAGAGGGGTCGTACAAAAATGATTTTTATTAAAAAATTAAAAAAGTAAAAAGTAAAATAAGAATTTGTGATGATCAAAAACAAGTTACTTGAGGAATTCCTGGAATTCTGAATGGTAAAATGAATTTATTGCAAAGATATTTACAATTAAAACCCTGTCGGGTCACTTTTGACCCATGTTGTGTATCAAAGGGTTAAAACCCTGTCGGGTCACTTTTGACCCATGTTGTGTATCAAAGGGTTAAAACCCTGTCGGGTCACTTTTGACCCATGTTGTGTATCAAAGGGTTAACAACGTTAACAGACAGCAGAGCAGTGGGAGCCGGTTGGTCAATCCCCGACCCGTATTGCGCATGCGCAGATCTAAGATCCAGTAGAAATGATAAAAAAGTAAAGGTCTGCTGCTTATTGTTCTACTAGACCAAAATAGAGTCAAAGAGTATATGAGAGTGAGACTGTGTTAATTAATATATTTGGACAATATATAATGGAAACGTGTTTGACTTTCATTAGTAAATGAAACTGTGTGCCCTTTATAGTCTGTGTCCAATATTGTGTATTTGTATATATTGTATATGCATCCTATATATATGCTAAGGTCCCGCTGCTGACACGATAGCAGTCATTTAGTGCGCATATGTGTAATTAAACCCATGATATCAAAATCTCACTCCAGCCATGCAGGTACCCAAAGTTGGCAACCCTGATCTAACCTTAAAAAAACAACTAAAGGTTAATGACTGTTATCTGTTTTTTTCCTCTGTAATAAACATAAACGGATTGCAATCCTACCTTGGTCATGTCGTTGTGGAGATTGTTGAAGTCAAGAGAGAGCATATTCCCCACCAGAGGAAGAGCCCAGGGGCCTGGAGGAAAGCTTCTGGGCCGACGGGACCTCAGACCCAGGGCCACCAGCAGGAGGACCAGGGTGAAGAGGAGCAGGCTGCGGCTGTCCAGACACACGGAGAAAGCCCAGGATAGATCCATCCTTACAATTAACAGCTTCTGGAACCACTCGGGTTTGGTTGTATTCGCTTCAGAGTTGTATCAAAGAGACATCATGCAGGCTACACCTCTTTAGGGGACTGGTTGGCTGTTTGATTCCTGACCAAAAGAGGCGGTGTCATTTCCGGTGAAACACAGGTTGAAAGCACATTTGAGGTGGAGAAGTGCTCAGATCTTGCACTTAAGTGAAGAATGTACCTTTTAAACCACTGCATTTGACACACATTTTGTGACATCACAATGAGTTTCTTTGAAAGAACTACGTGACCTTTATCATGATTTTGTATTGTGTAACAGTTTAATCCTTTGTAGGCTACTTATCCTCTATTCACCCAGGGTTTTTGCACAAGAGAAAAGATGAATACCCCACCTAATGTTGAATAATTAAGTCAGAACATGTAATCCCACGATCAACAGACGTGTTTAGGGGGTGAGGTGTTTGCATATGTGTCTGAGGGGTATATCCCATTGTCTTGTTTGTGATGGTTTTGCATACAGTGCCAGAGGGGGTAACGGCCCGTCCACACTACAGCGTCGACAGCGTCGACAGCTTCAATCTGCCCATTCACTTTGAATGGGGTGACGTCACGTTGCCGCTTTTTTTCGCCGAACTGAATTGTGGGTAGCATAGCGGTCGGTCTCCGCCGTCAGAACGCCGGAGTAGCCAGCGCCAGCCAATCAAATCCCGTTTCGGAAAATCTGACAGATCAAGCCGTAGCCAATCAAACCGCGTCTAAGCTGGGAGAGATATCCCGCGGTTCATTTCTATATTTCAAAAAAAGATGGAGGAGAAACTAATTATCGCCGTAGCAAATCACCCGGTTTTGTATGACCAGACCCTCTTCACCTACCGGGATACAAACCGGAGGAACCAGGCATGGAGGGAGGTAGCAGAGACAGTGGGTGAAACTGGTAGGTTTTCGCCTGTTTTGGGAGTTTATATATATATATTGCTCCCATAAAATCCCCGGGGGTTTTTGCTTTGTATGTCGGGGGCGGGAGATACATGTGATTGGTTGTTGGTCGCGTTGCTTGAATAAAATCCCCAAGCTTCAGACACGCCCAGCTCCAAGCTTTTTTTGAAGCTGTAGTGTGGACGCTCCGTAACAGCTGGCCTCCCAGAATGTTGTTGTAATGTAAATCTGCTTTGATGTCCTCTTATAAAGAGAGCCTGTTTCACTCAGACCAGTACGTTCTCTTTTGGAGGAGACGTCATACTTGCAAGTATAAAATATCTTTATTGCCTTTAATATGAATATTGTGTTGCTGTACGTTTGTTACCTAACTGATTATTCTCTCTAGACCACAGCTGATTGTATAGCTCCTACAACACATGTTTGCTGTGCTGGGAATGTATACATATAGTTTTAATATGTTCTCAGACAGAAGGGTGTCACCCTGACCATTGTCAGGCAATTAGCAGATGGATGTTAGGGTTGTAATTAACACACTGCTTACCCTTCTGTCTGCCCCCCACCCTTCTTGGGACTGTAATGTGGATTGTCTTCCTTCCTGTGTCTCATCTGTATAAATGACATTGCTTTTAGGTGGAACGGGGTCAGATCCTGGTGCTACGAGTGCCAGACCCGGCGGCAGACATACGTCTCTGGGCGGGCATTTGATGTACCATGGCCGGCCCATCCCGAAACTTACATTTCCCGGGAAATCTCGAGATTTGTCAAGGGGGTTTAGGTTGCCATAAGGCTGTTGACGGTCTTATTATAGGCTTCATCCATTGGTTGGTTTTGTGGCACATTTGTAACGCTGTGCCAACTTGGGCAAGCACGCAGGCAAACTTGAGCGCACACAGGGTGGAGAGGTGGGGTGAGGTTGAGCGATGGAGAGAAAGGGAGAGAGAGAGATTGAGCGAGGCAGAGAGCGTGTGCAGCGGTCTGCTTGCGCACAGAGCAGGAGTTTGTGAGAGAGCCGGTGTCAGTACCAGATATGTTCGGACCAGAGCCGTATAATAGAAGAGTTATGACATCTCCGTTCACTCCAATGGACCACTTTTTTACAGCAATGGCGGATCGTGGAGCCTCTCATTCGTTCCCCGGAAGTTAGCGCCAAGGCTAGCAGAGCGGTAGAGTTGCAGCATAATAACCGTTCGTGACGGACTTTTAAAGGTAAGAAGAAGTTTAAAGATTTATATTGCGGATATTATCAGTACATCTGATTCAATTGAACATGTGTATTAAAGGATGTCAGTGGATTATCCCTAAATTAGTAGATTTAGGGAACGTTTACAGATAACAGATCAAGCTAGGATACCGAAGCAAGTTAGCAACACACGTTGAACAGCCTTTTAATTGTAAATTCCGTTCTCTTAATGTCTATTTGGTCCAACGTTGTTGAATTAGAGAAGAGGGGCTTCTAAACGGGATTGTATGCGGGGGTGGAGGGAGTTAAATATTAGATAAATATAACTTTGGTGCGTGTAAGAGTGAGTGTTTTTAGCAGAGCCATATTGTGTCCTTGTGATTATGTTGATTATTACCTGCCTGTATAATGTTGCAGCTCAGCTGATTTTGGATTGATGGCAAAGGGAGAGGAACTTAAGTGAGTGTGAAAACACAAGGTAAGTTTAATACGACTGTTTTATATAAGTAAGCATACTAAACATGTATTCTATCACTGTATTATATAAGTAATCTTGTTAGTAACCTACTGTATGGCAGGTGGAGGGGCAGTGATGTTACAGGTGGAGGAGCAAGACTGCAAACTCACAAGACAGAGAAATCAAAGTTTGTTCTCCAGAGACGAGGTTGATTTCACTTCAATTTTTTATATTTTCTAAAGATGTGGAAATGGCACAAAAAAAAACTTGAGAGCTGTAACCAAGACAACTGTAACAACATGAGTAGACAGCCACCAAGGTTTTTCAAGTCCCTCTCTTACTCCATTTGGCCAACCCAAACTTCCAGGTACATGACGGGACACCTTGCTTGTTTTTGTTGTTTGCGCTCCTCTGGCAGGTGGAGGGCAGTGATCCCTTCCCTTCTTCCCTCAATCTTTGAGACTAATGTAAGTAGAAGACATGGCACTGTAAATGTTCGAACATTTAAAATATTATACCACTTAAAAATAAGAAATATTACTTTTGTTACTAAGAGTTCATACTTATTATACCTGTGTCACCTTTCACACTATCGCTGTGATCATGAGCTATGGGCTTTGTAGATACAGGTCCCGGGGTGAATCGTGGTGCAGGGGCCCTTCTCTTTTTGACCACAGGGCGATGCACGAAGATGGTGGGTATAGCCTCTGCTCTCAGCCTAGTCTTGACAAACTGGTCTGCATCAAAATGTGCCTGCAGAGTGATTTGAGGTTACTTCACACACAGAACAACTGTGTCTGAATCTTGTCTGCCCACATACATATTCCATAGTGGTTGAATACACAGTATTAGGAAACACTTTATACTTACTGGACATGTTACACTCATTACATACTGTATATAAAATATGACCAAGAATGTGAGACAACTTTATAGAAATTCATATCACATCTGTTACTGATGCCATTTGTCATACTTTGTTAAACTCACAAATAATAAAGTTCCATAACTTCAGTTGGGAACAAAGACCACACCTTATCTCCCCAAGGCAATTTCCCATCCAATAGGTGTGCTATATAGGTGTGTATAACCCGTTCTCCTGTCTGTTACTCCCTCTTTCAGCACAAGAACCAGAGGGGGATTCAATGGAGCCTGAATACCTGCACTGAGACCCTCACCCTGCACCCTGAGTCTCAACTCTGTGTTTTTCAAGCCTGTCCCTGTTTTTTGTATTAAACAAAACATTAAGCTTTCCCAATGGTGTGGTTTTCGTTTTGTGAAAAAGTGCAAATGCAGTGTTTGTATATAAATCACATATTTTTTTGCTGTTGGTCGTGAAATTGCTCCTGCTTCCTCCGCTCTGTGTCAGTGGGGAAGCTGTACATTCGTACTCCTTTCTCTGAGCGATTGGAGCATCCCCAGGCAGCACAGCAAACCATGGTGGCGACTAGGAGGCAGCACAGCAAACCATGGTGGCGACTAGGAGGCAGCACAGCAAACCAGGACAACACGGAGGAAAAGGCACAGACAAACTGCATGATATGCTATTCAATGTTTATTGAATTCCATGTATTTGCAATGGATGTTCCTAAAACAACACATTTAACATCATCATGCTGCTGCTGCTGCTAGTCCTTTGATAGTCACCTGTCGGTCTCCTGTCCTTTCTGAAAGCCATAAAGATGACAATAGTCATTTAGATAACTTGTGTCCTCAATTACCATGGTTACTGAAACTACCATGAATTTAAAAAAATGGTAGACATTAATCTAATCTGAATTTTAAAGCATTACTTTAGATCCCCTCCCTCTAAATATATCAATAAACATTAGAAAGTGATGCTCCTGACTACCATACAAGTTTAAGAAGATACTATTGGTTTTAAAGAATTCAAAGCTATAAATAAACAGCAACAGGCTCTTTAACCAAGGCACTGTTAGCCTAACATGTAAACTAGTTGTTCACACTAATCCTAATATTATCACTTAATATTAGCAAATTCTATTTTATTTTTAAAAACATATTGATGTAAATACATACACATATCGATTTGTTGTATACATTTTGCAAATCAAAACCTTTATTCACTAATAATTACCAAAAATCGTAGTTCTATCTCCTGTTATCAATGCATTCACATTGCCCGCCATGAACTTCCGGGGAACGATCCTCTTCTACATGAACCACGTGACGATAACCGTTTTTGGACTTCCGTTGTCGTAACTCTTCTATTATATGGTACGGTGGCCCTGAAGTGCAAGACACTACAGTATTTCACAAAACACCACAGCATTTCACAAAACACTACAGCATTTCACAAAACACTACAGCATTTCACAAAACACTACAGCATTTCACAAAACGCCACAGCATTTCAGAAAACACCACAGCATTTCAGAAAACACCACAGCATTTCACAAAACGCCACAGCATTTCACAAAACACAACAGCATTTCACAAAACGCCGCAGCATTTCACAAAACACAACAGCATTTCAGAAGATCTAAAACATTTTCTAAATACACAAAATAACCATTTATCTCAAATATTGTTCACAAATCTGAAAAAATCTGTCATAGTGAGCACTTCTCCTTTGCCGAGATAATCCATCCCACCTCACAGGTGTGGCATATCAAGAT